GGATCATGGAGTCCAGCTCTTAAGTGAACGGCCCACACGGGTGTCAAACCCACAGCCTGAGCTCACTCAGGGCCAGGTTGTTTCACCCACAGCCTGGGTTGTGTTGGCTCCAAGACCTGACTCGAGGCGCTTCCCTGCCCTTTTCAGGTTTTCTACTACTCCACCAGCATCTTTGAGAAGTCAGGGGTGGAGCAGCCTGTCTACGCCACCATCGGCTCCGGCGTGGTGAACACGGCCTTCACGGTGGTCTCGGTGAGTGTTGGCCCCCTGAGGTCCTGCTGGAGGGATTGGGGGCCTTTCCTGCAGGCTGGGGAGGTGCTGATGATGTGTCTCCATCCCCCAGCTGTTCGTGGTGGAGCGGGCCGGGCGCAGGACCCTGCACCTCATCGGCCTGGCGGGCATGGCAGGGTGTGCTGTGCTCATGACCATCGCCCTCACGCTGCTGGTGAGTGCTGGGTGCTGAGGGGACGGGTGGGCTGGGAGGGAGAGGAAGGATTTATCTTCCTTAGGGTGATGGCTGAGGTCCCAGAATTCCCATCTCCTGCTGGGAGAGGCCTGGTGGCTCCTCTGCCAGCACTGGATTGCTGCTGTCTCTCACTTCAGGTGCTTCGTGCCCCTTCTCCACACTGACCTTCTCCCTCTCCCTTGCCCAGGACCAAATGCCCTGGATGTCCTACCTCAGCATCGTGGCCATCTTCGGGTTCGTGGCCTTCTTTGAGATCGGTCCCGGCCCCATCCCGTGGTTCATCGTGGCCGAGCTGTTCAGCCAAGGCCCCCGTCCCGCGGCCTTCGCGGTGGCCGGGCTGTCCAACTGGACCTCCAACTTCATCGTGGGGATGGGCTTCCAGTACATCGCGGTAATCACGGGGGCACCACGGGGGGGACGGGGGACACGGCAATCCGGGGGTCTGGAGGGACTCAGGGGGTCCCAGGAATTCGGGGGAGTCGCAGTCCTGCACACCCAGACTGGGGTGGGTCTGGATGGTCCCAGATCCCGGTTCTGGATCAGGGATGCAGGTGGTGTCTGGCTGGATCCTGATCATGGGTCCTGGTGGTGGATCCCTGTGCCAGACTCAAGTGCAGGATCCCACTTCTGGATCCTGCTGCCAA